TAGATTCTAATGGCAATGGTTTTCCTGTCATAAGGAGGAGTTTTATTGCCCTAAACAAAATATTTGGCCACTCTTTTGTCTTTTTCCTTCATACAACTCCGAAGTAATTCATAGCGATCCATGGTCAATGTATTATTACCAAGTTGCTGAAGTCATATTTAAGACCTATTGGTTTGGTTATTATTACTTAGAGCATGTAAATTAGTAAAAGGACGTTATATTTCGGTCATAAATGCTGGTTTTAGTGAATTATCAACAATGATGGTATTGATGGTATTTGGTAGCATACATCTCCCTAAATGTTGTGCCATTGACCTCCCCATGACTACGCAAGTGAGTTATTGGAATAACGCCTTACTTCAACGCAAACCATTGTTCCCTCTTGTGAACAATTGTCCATCTAAGATGTGTCGCTCATTGGTAAGGCGTTCTCATAATCGATGCGAGGTGATGTGCCTTGTGGGGATGGCTGCAATGGTGTACGACAGGAGAGAGTGGAGAGGACGATTAGTCGCTCCGCTTGATGGAGGGAAGATTGCGGAAGGAAGGAAGCGATTGGGCGAGCGCGCTCTCATTGTCAAACTCTGGGCTGCTTGCCACATGGATGCATTGTCCGATGACTGGCATACTCGGTTGTCCTAAGCAGCAACGGATTTGGAGAATGATGAACTTAAGAAGGTGACCGTAGTGCCTTCGTTCAACATATCCTATAAATTTCTTGAATTTACTATAGTTATGCGCTGTAGAATAATCAATTCTAACACTTATTGATTTGCTTTCCTCAAGCAGTATTTATAGGAACATCCATAGATTATTGAAATTACGAAGATCTGCGCCGGCTATCAGAACCTTTTTTTAATAATTTTTGGTAGGGTACTGTAGAAATATGTTGATGCGCCTGTCTGGACTGCACAGTAGAACCCTTGAGTGAGATGTGTAATCAATTTAGGAACATCCATAGGTCACCCTCTTTCATCAGATCTACCTAAAGTCATTTCAACGTAGTATTATTGTAATGCCTAACAGTACAGCATAATTAG